CATGTCAAAGGGCAGAACACAACATTATGGTCCATTACAGTAGTTCCTATTCAGTTTATAATGGCTGTACTTGATGTATGTCTAGTGACTAATCACAAAAAGCAAAACGCTTTACAGTCCAATACTTGGGAAAAATGTTTGGAAGACAAAGGGAGAATATTGGTATTCACTGTAAGTTGGTATTTAGCTTATGTCCCTAGTCTACTGTCCAATTAGAGAATTGTAGTGAGAAGTGTGTTATCATTGTCTGGAAGAATTGGATTATAAGTTTTAATTTGGTTGATCACTATATTGTCAATTCTCATGGTTGTATTGAAAGTCTTGCATTATCTGGTGGTGTCCTTAAAACCTTGGTACCTTTAATTAATTGGTTGAGAGATTTTCAGCTTTTAATTTTTTTAAAAGTAAGTTTCTAGACATCCTGACAGCAGAGAAAAATGTGACCAGAGTGAAACTTAACAACTTAAAAACCAGAAGACAGAAAAGGAACCTCATTTTTTTGTTTAAATCTCATTATTTTAAGCTAATTTCCTAAGATGTTGGGTGTCTGAAAGGGGCTAAGTGGGCTGACCTACACCATCAAGAAGGTTAAAGATGAATAAGGAATGAGAGACTGTGTGAGTGCTGAACACTTGTTGTGAGTCTTTGAATAAGAAAGTAGAAGGCAGCTGGCCAGAGGATTTCATTCTCCTTGTGCTTACAGATTTTGTAAGAGTCTTGCTTTGCTTCTAGCTGCAGAAAGCTATTATCTGTGGAGTGCTGGTTTTTATATGGAAGCTGGTTTGTGATCATATGTCAGCTTACTCCCAGAGTAGACTACAGCAACCTTGTTTATATTTTGATAGTGCTTAGTAATTCCACATACAAAGTTGTTGATAAAAATAAACAGCCAAAAGAGCCCTATGTAGGTCATGCTTTCATTTATTCACTTCATATAAAAATCTCTTAAGAATGCATCTGAACACAATATATAATACTATAACATACATTGTGTGAAACTTTTGAAAACAATAAAATAACCACCTGGAACAATGCAGTGTTCAACAGACATACAAACCCATTGATCATGCACAACTGTGCTAGTCTCATCAACTATTTAGTCACAAGTTGGACCAAAAGCTTGAAATATATTTTACAAACTGACACCATCAATGATGCCTAACAAGCTTTGTCAGAAGAAGCTTCACAGCACAATTATTACATCAGTTCACATTTTGTCATAGAAATTCACATTGGGTTGTTCATATATCAGAACATGACATTTAATAGTTGGCAGCATTCACAGGGGGTTTCTTTTTCAGAGGTTTAGTAGTTTAAACAGCTCATGCTATTCTCCCTCACCCCGTCATACGACACAACTTTTCTTATCTCATCATGAAGATAAAACTCCTGTGAGCTAATGCCACCTGAATGCCCTTTATGGGTTCCGTATGTCTCTTACGCTATGTTCAGGTTCTTCTATTTTATGCAATACAAAAGGCTACAAGGAAAAAAAAGGCAACTCTTATCCAGAGTTTTCTACACAATTAACACCACCATTGACAGGTAATGTTAATTTATATAAATTAATAACTTACAAAACATTACATTATATACAGTAAGTAATAAATACACTGTTATAAACAGTAATGGATGTGTTAGAGCTCAAGGCAGTGCAGGAGAAAAATAATGGAACTAAACCTAGGAAATATGAACTACAAGTGAGAGAAACACAAAGATTGGAACGTGCAATTTCCACTGAGCAAAGGAGCCGCCAAGAGGGAGAACGCACATCACACACTGCCTTATTACACTTAATTGTATATGTACTGCATTGTGCTAGAAAAACAGAACTACCCTTTATCCTGTGCACAACAAAAGTGAACCCCACTGAGGAAAAAAATACTGTTGCATGTAGCAAGCAAACAGAAAAGACGTGCAAGTCATGAAATGACTTTAAATGGTCATCTGGAGATTTAACGTGACTGTTAAAGGTGTAGCGATGCAAAATTGGGGGTACCCCTTCTATGTAGCCTGTAAAAATGATGAACTGCAATAAAGTGACAGATATTGCCCATGAGAGAAGGAAGACTATTTCTTTTAACAGGAAGAATCAAAAAAGTATCCACCAATTTTGAAACACATTGTGTAGAGTTTTATACTAAACTTTGTGTATTTAATAGGCTCTTGAAAAGACATGAAAGTGTTTACAAAAAAGGCACACAGGTCTGCAGACAGGTGGTTAGGTGGACAGGTTTTATATGTAGAGTTACTAGTCAGTAGTTTCTATCTGTCTAACTGGTATAAATTCCCAAACCCTAACAGTATAAAATCTCTCAGTTCTGTGTCATTCACTTTCAACCAGTTCAGTAACAATTCAAGCTGGCTCTGGAACAACACAATGTTTTAGATGACAAGGCTTAAACGACAATGTAAATCATCTGTTAATTTCCTGAGCAATCATTCCATACACAATCTTTAACCTGGACTCCAATCTCAAGTAGCTGGGAAGATCTTTTAGCCAATGTTAGACACGGGCTTAAGACCTAGATTGCAGGCTAGTCCTACAAGACAGCTTGCATGCTCATTAAGTGTTTAAAGTTCAGCTACATACAGTACATTATGTATCAACAGGTGACATATCTTCTGTCACAATTTCTATATTAGACTCTTCTTGTGATTCCCTTTTGCCTGGGTCAATCACACACAGTGTCTTTGTATTGCTGAAATAGCTGATATTCTCGCCCTCCTTTTCAGGTCCGTCTGAATCCTCTTCTTCAAGAGTCAGTTCAAATTGGAACTTCTCCATTAGACCCTGACAGTCTCTATTCCGTTCATCAAGGGGAGGGGAGGGACTTTGAGGTATCATACTCTGGTACCAGTTTCTATTGTCTTCTAACGTATCCAGGATGTCTTGTGCATCAGGCTGCACTAGGTCTGCCCAGGTCTCCCAAAGTGGATGGACAATGTAATCAATGAACCCAACCTGAGAAACAAAATATTACATACACATTACAAATGACTGATGAATTTTACAGAAAATATTCAGTATCACTGAGGACCTGAGTCTGAGAAGCAGCCTTTATTTTTGCCTGCAAATAACTGCATCAGACTGGGCCCTCAAACCCAGTGTTGATATGGCACTATTTGCATACATCATGCGTATGTAAAACTGCACCTACAAAACAGGGCCCTGAGTTGAGGTTTCATAAAAAGCAACGGTCACATGGACATTCAGGGATTAGGCTACCAGTGCCACCCTGTATGGAATATGTCATTATAAATAGACTTGCTGTTATCTTGGCTGACTCCAAAAAAATGTCGTTCTGGTGCAATACTAAGGCAAACCTCAAGCTGAGTTAGTCTGGGAGATTGAAAGCTTCACAGTGGTTGCTATATAACGTCAGCTTTCAGTTCCTGAAACGACTGGGTTTTTTCAAGGCAATTGCTGTGCAATTCCTCCCTTGAGCATTCATTTGGCTGGCAGCTGTGAAAAAGCCAGCATGCTTAGATTGTCTACATTCTGAATGTTGCTGCTTTTATGGACTTATGTTTCCCCTTTAATGCTATCTTATTATCACATGTAGCTTGTGTTTGAGGTAAACTTGTTTTCTGTGCTCTGCGCCTTTAAATGGAGAGACGTCTCTCTCTTTTCTGCTGCAGAGCTAATGGCAGTTTCTGTCTGGAGGCAGCCTACTGCAATTTTTCAAAGTTGCTTTCTTTTTTAATTTGTTAAGAGTGTACAAAACTAAAGGAAGGACCCACTGCAAAAAATAATCCCTTGTCCTCAATGTTGGTATAATAGGTAGGCAGGTCTCCTGTGGAGTGGATGGATGTGTCATTGGTGGAAATAATGGGAGCCTTTTAGACTATTGGCAAGCAAGCTCTGAATTGGATCACTTTTCAATTGTCTGACAAACAGGACGTACAGGATGGAGAAAACTGAATGGCCATAAAGAGGTCTGAAATCCTTCCATATTGGCAGAATGCGTCACTTGACTCTGTGCACTGCTGAACAACATTTCTATGCAGCAGGAAAACAGCTCTCGAAGGGGCCAGAGTCAACATGTGGATGTTTGCTTTGGAAATCACATATGCCTCCTTCAGACACAACAGGATGTCAATAGAACCATTATAATTCAATTGTAACATACCGTCAAGGCAACTTAAACAAAAAGGTGATGAAAACTTCCTGCAGCACATGTTTGGAAGCACTGTTAGAGTGGATTAAAAAAAACCTCCTGTGTTTGATTATTGGATAGTGGGGTTCGTTGATATTATAAAAGCTGCCAATATTCATATAGGACTAAGCCTCAAAAATGTTGCAACTGGTTAATGAAGCAAAGTTAATTGTTTATCTAAACAAATATCTCAAACAACCAAGGAAATGATCACATTTTGTTTTGTCAGTTTCTAATACCTAAAAAAGAGTATTTACTAAATATAAAAGGACATTATTGAGTCTAGCTGAGAATTTTAAACGTGTCTGTATTTACCATTCTATTTCAGATCCTTTTAACCTCAAAATGTAAATGCCTCTTTCTCTCTGTTTACGCATTTTTCTTGCTCAAACAGTCACCATTTTGTTCAATCCCTTATCTCCCTGCACAACCACAGTCCATTTTTAAAATCTCTCTGGAGTAAGAAGATGGAACAGAAAAATGCTTCAACACTGCCTCAGGCATATGGACATTTTCTTGCTACAGTTGGGTTGTAGATTGTTGTTGGGCTAACATATAAGCAGATTTTTTTCAATGGCTACATGAAAAATTTTGAAACTACTTGGTTTAGCACAGGAAGACAGTTAGAAATAATAATGACCAACTTTGTTAATTATTTGGGCCCATAAATCCCTGACAATGTCTTGTCCAAACTAATGAAACAAGCAACTGAGGCACTGCTATCTGAAGAGCAGAATGTATTTTAGTTAAATGCAGGTTGTTGGGCTTAACACTGACCAAGTTAAATTCTATGGCGCGTGTTATACAGAACATACTACATGAGCTAAGGGATCCTTCTGGCCTTAAAATCTATGAGTGAAAATGAGGGATGTGCTGATTAGGTCTCACAAAATAAGAAATATTCCGGTCTTAAAAGGAGCCAACTCTTTATTAACACTTTTGTGTTGATTTAGATAAATACTGCCCTGTCTTCCTGATCTCCTCCCCCTATGACTTCCAACAGATCCTTAACATTATAACCTGAAAACACACAAAGACTATGTCTACATTGCCCAGTCTTGCACAAGAACATATGCAAATGAGGCAGAGCAATGTATATCGCTGCTCATTTGCATACTTAATGAGCCATCATTTTTGCACAAGGGGCTTTTGCGCAAGAAGGAGCAGTCTACACTGCTCCTTCTTGAGCAAAACCCCCCTCTTGAGGCTCATTTGCATATGTTCTTGCGCAAGACTGGGCAATGTAGACATACCCTGCATTTCCAGAGGTCTGACAGTCCACACTGGGGTTACCTGTTGTCGATAGGTCTTTCCCAAAGCATTCCAGAATGGATCCTGACTCAGAAGTCCCTCGATTTTGCAAAATGTAAAGAGACTAGCTACTAAATAAAGATTTTCAAAATTTCAGTGATCTGGCAGGACATTGCCCAATTTAGGAAGGACTGTCCAAGGACCGAGGAGAAGGATTTTGTAAAGGATCAGAGAAGAAAGGTAGGTGGAGAAATCTGAAATGCACCTTCTCATCCAGGGGATCAGATAAATATTGATTGCTTCTGGAAATAGGAGCATAAAAGGAAAAGGATGAGTCTGCACTTGAACATGAGGCTAAGTGAAGCTGGAAAGAGATCACTTAAAATGGTCATGTAAATTCATAAAAACTTCAGAGACATTCAGGTAGTTGGTGTCTACCAGGATCAAACTTCTTAACCTTTGCCTATTTACCTATGCTGCTGAAAAAAAACACCTTTCAGTATAAATTGAAAAGGCATATGACTCTTGAGAATATGAAATGCAGCAAGAGAATGCCACTCCTTTAATAAAAATATCCAAATTAACTAAAAACATTTGGACCAAACTCATTCCTGGTGTAACTCCCCTGATGAGACCAGAGTTATTTCAGGGATGACCTTGTCTTAGTCAATTTTAAAATTACACCCTGAAACAAATAAAATGTACCCTGATGTAAATTACCTGTGATTTTTCCACTGATGCTGTGTGTTTGTCACACATTGGACTAATTTCCATTCCCCTCTCTCGTTCTTTATCTCCCTGCTGGAAAAATTCCTCCATGATTCTGTCTGTCCACTGTCGATATAATTCCAGGGATTTTGTGGGATTACTCAGGTCTGCACAATGCACCATATTTCGGAGAACCTGAAATTATATTAATAAGAAAGCTCAGAAAATAAAAAGGAATAAAAGAAGATTTCGGACCATGCCTGTTTGTTTTATCAGGAACATTTGAATCATAAAAGTCTTTGATTATAAAAAGTAACTTCTGAAAAATTTCCTCCTTCCAAGTTACATTAGAAAATAATTGCCAGGGTCTTTTGTGGAAGCAAAAAGGGTACTGTGTGCCAAAGCAGCTAACTCTGTGACTACGCAGGGTGCGGCTGCAGTATGCCATCACGTAGGTCTGTTCTTGAATGCAGGTGCTTCCCACCATTCATCATTTTTTCTAAACTAAGCCTTTTCTAGCTAAATATCCCTGCTCTATTAACTGAATAACATCCCTGTACACAAACAAAATGGATTTGATTAACTGTGGACAAAGGGATTTACAGAGAAAGTGTGTTCTATATACTCCAGCAACTTATCTCCATATAAGCAGCTTTTGGAAGCTTTTTTGTAAGCCTGCCACCAACATGGAGGAAGGAATGGGGTGCTGCCTCTGAGACAGTACACTCCTTTCTCACATTTGCCTATCTTCCATTTTTTTTCTGGAAGAGGATTTTTCAATATTTGGCCCGTCTATACGGGGCCAAATGTCGGGGAAAAAACCCTCTTTCAGAAGCCCCACGGTACCTTGTTTTGCTGGGCTCTGGGGCAATTGCCCTCTTCGACCCCTTTCCGCCCATCTAGCCCATTGAAAATTGAATTGTTTATATAGAATGGAACAACTTCAAGAAGAGAGAGAATGAGAGAACACTGCAGCATCTAAATCCATCTTTAGGGCCTTCCTGTACTACTTCGCTGCTCTCCCTGGTATAGAACAGCAGTTATATGGATCCTACAAGCTTTCAATGATTTCTAAAAAAAAAAGTTAGCACTGCTTTTTGCAACAAAAGCCAAGACTATTAACCAGAGTAAAACTATGCAGCATGATTTCTTCCACTAAGAAATAAACTGTGCAAAACTGCAAAAAGGTAAGGAAAATTCCAATATATACCTGTATACGATCTGTGTAGTTATCCAAAAGGAGAACTCCTGAACTTGTCACTTTCTTAGTTTCCACCATAGTCTTTAGGTCTGCCAAAAGACTCATATGTTTGGACATATCTGTTGCCAACACCTTTACAAAAGAAGAAAACCTTCTGAAGTGAAATGCAGCAGTGCAAAAAGGCAATTTTTCTCTTTAAGAATAGTAGGGATAACCAGAGTATGGGAAGGTGGAATTCTTACCATGTCTATCACCATTTTCCTGAGAGTCTGACGCTGTTTCTTTGAAAGGTTCTGGAAGATATCACAGTGCTCTTCCTGGAGCAGCTTGAAACCCACAGCAAGATGGTGGTTTTCCAAGACAGATTCATCATTGTACATCAGAGCTAGTTCAGAATCTAGCAAAAAAGTGTGAAAGAGATCAGTAAGCATCATGTAGGCATATTTTTCTTGTGCATTAAAATGTTTATAATCATTAAAATATTAACAATTAGGCATGTTATATCCTACCAATTTTTTGTTTTATCAGAGCCAAATAGTAATATTAACACTTGTATACAAGAACTCTAATATACCCATTATTATTCAGCTTAACTGGCAACTAGTTTTAAATGAGAGAAAAAAAATAGATATTTCGTCACTAACAATAGAAAGCATGAAACATACAAAGAAACTTTCCAAAAAGGAACCATGCAGTAGCCTTGGAATCAACGCATGTATTTAGCATGTTAAAAACCAGACTGTGAACCCAAACATTAACCTTTGGTTTTGTCATCATTAGGGCCCCAATTTCACAGTCATAGGATTTTAAAAGTGGTAAATGTCATGATTTCAGCTATTTAAATCTGAAATATCATGGAGTTGTAATTGTAATGGTTCTGACTCAAAAAGGAGTCATGTGGAGATCACAAGGATATTGTATGAGGTTGCAGTGCTGTTACACTTATTCTGCACAGTGGCTGGCAACAGCATTCCTTCAGAGCTGGACAGCTTGAGCGTGACAGCTGCTGCTAGCCAGGAATGGAGCTCTGATGGCAGAGCCGCCCTCAGCATCAGTGCAGAAGTAAGAATGACATGGTAAGGTATTGACACCCGTAATTCTGCACTGCTGCCTGCAGAACTGGAACCTTAGTCAACAGCTGCCACTCTTTGGCCACCCAGCTCTGAAAGCAGCAGCACAGGAGTAAGGGCGACATGGTATGATATTACCACCCTTACTTTTTCACTGCTGCTGGCAGGGTGCTGCCTTCAGAACTGGGCAGCCGACCAGTTTTACAACAATCGCTCTCCAGTTGCCCAGCCCTGAAGACAGTGCAGAAACGAGGGTGGCAATACTGTGACACTCCTAAAACAACCTGATGACCCCCCTGCAATTTTGGGTCAGGCTCCCCAATTTCAGAAACACTGGTCTACTTGTGTAATCAGTATACTACAGGTATTGGATAAAAGCACACAAAAGGCCAGATTTCACAGGACACCAGATTTCACAGTCCATGACTTGTTTTGCATGGATGTGAATTTGGTAGGGCCCTAATCATCATCTACAATGATAATAAAAATATAAAATATATTACGCATTATTTAGTTGTCTCATATTAGTTATAAATGAACTGTCCAAGTTCCCATCAATGACCAGAAAACTCACTGTGAATTAGTGCTAAGAAAATAAACATGATGTATGCTCCTAAAGAGACAACAGCACAAAATTCCCTAATATTTTTATTTTGACAACTGTTTAACTATTGCCTGGCCTCGTGGAGTGCTAGCAGTTTACTGCATGGTTATTGCACAATGGTAATTTAGTTTTAAAGTAGTAATTTGAGACTATACTGTGCCATGAAATCTTAGCTAATCAAGGGAGAGGATCTGCTAGATTTGCAAATTAGTAAGCTACTACTGTGTTGAAAACAAGACTTACTCGTATTAATAAGAAATTGGTTGGAGACACCAGGGTGATCTACATCATGAATTGCAGCTGCAAAAATTGCTGCAAGGATTTCCAAATCTGTGAAGACAGCCTAGGGAAAAGAAATAAACAAAATGAGCACATGACCGCAGTCTTTAAACTAAAAGCTACAAATGGTTTGCATGAAAAATTGTCAAGACAAATTGTCAGTGTTATTAAGATTTTGCCTTCCATGGGCAAAAGGCTTCTAGTTAGAAGAAAGCCCTTCAAACAGTACGTGTACCTGTTACTGAAAATTACTTAAGGTATCTTTGCCCGAGAGTAAACTAAACCCTCAGAAAAGCAGTACAGTACTGTTGCAATCTAGATAGGTGCTGAAGCAGAATGCATCCATTTAAGTGTTCTACTATGTATTTTAACATGGTTTGCTCAAAACTCCCCATTTGCGACATTCACGCCCCCTGTTGTCTTCCAGTAGTTTGTTTTCAGGGCCACCAAATACTGCATATAGCTAATTAATTCACACAGAGGAGCTATGTACTGAAATATCCATTCAGATATCCTGCTTTAATGCTTTAGAATCCCAGTAAAATTACATCAATGACCCAATACAGAACAACTCACATCTAGTGCAGGGGTAGAAAGAAGAACATGTGTCGACTGGGCAACATCAGCAGCATGAAGGCTGTTATGGTAGGCGACATCAGAATGATAGTGGTCTTCCAACGTCATCATGTAAGTTATAAAGGTGTCAGATGAGATTTTGAATGTTTTTAATAGATCTCGCTCCTGTTTAATAAATGTGAAGAGAATGCATATTAATCATGCAAGCAAAGGTGCCCTCATCAGCAAATTTTAAGAGTTAAGAAACAATGAGAAACCATAAAAGTGTTGTAAAAAAATAGCAAATGAATGTTGAATCTCTAACCTGAAAAATGGCGTACATAATACAGGTGAGGGGCCGGCTGTGTGAATATCTTGCAACATTAAATATGTTAAGACCCCATTTATTCAGATCCTCCAACTCCTAAAGAAAAATAATAAAAGAATAGTTACAATACGTTAAAAATGAATGTGGGAGCATGCACTACACACTATCATATTTATCCATTTAATCAAGATGATAATTAATATTAACTGGTCACTATCAAGGTACATGCAATGTACCGTAACAATGACGAGTCTATGTCAAACCACTTAAGTGGGGAGCACATTGAGAATTGTTTTCAGTGCTGTCTCATGTAGCCATAGGAAACCCCATAGGCCAATGGCAGACATGGCTGCGCTGTGTTCACCAATGCCTAAGACTTCGTAGTTCAGTCCTTCTGGTCTTTTAAACTATTCTGATTAAACTTGAAAGGTCTATTCCCACCTAAAAATATACTTTAGGGGCCTGATTCAAGTCTCATTGAAAACATTAATTCTCACAATACTCTTGCCAGGTAGGTAATATTTATTCCCATGTTATAAAAGAGGCCATCAGGCTAGGCGAAGGGACTTGCTCTAGTAGTTCAAACAGATGAGAACAGAACCCAGAAGGCTTGGCTCCCATTTTAATGCTAAAGCTAGTGGGCAATGTCATCTTTTCTGCCTTTCCAGCCTCAATGAAGTTCTAGAATGATATAATTATAATGATGTTTATGTATAGGAGTCATAAACACCTTGGCCAGATGGTCTTCCTTTTCTGTTTTCACCCCAAACCGTGAAATACTGGTGTTGTTTAAGCTTGAACTATGCATTAATTTTTTCACTCCACTGATCTGTGTCATAAGCTGCTGTTTCTTCTTCTTCTCTCTGTCTTTCTGTGTGGGAGAGGGAATCTCCACATCATTTTGTTTGTCTGTTAAAGAAAAAAGGTGAAATGATTCAACGACACGGAGTCAAGACACAGCAAACTCTCACTTTAAAATCAACCATTTGGAGGCACTTCATTTAAGTTTTAATTTTATATACAAGATAATTTTAGAACCGTGTAATCTACTGACTCCTAATTATTTATAAATCATCACAAGTCACACTGAATTTGAAATACTACATTCAAGCAAGTAATGATTATTGTAAATTAAGACATTATTACTCACTACTAGTGCCTTTAAAATAGTAATCATTAATCGTGAAAGGCTGAAGCACTCAGGTCTAAATCCACTAATAACACAAATGCTGGTATAAGATCCTATGGTGACGAAATGAATGGCAATGGTCCTAGGAAGAAGAGGTCAAATTCACTGTTGATGTAACTATACTAATGTCAGGGTGATGATGAGTATTGCAGGCTGTCAGAAACAGCTGACTCTCTTCTGTTGTGAGTGGAGCTGCCATTGAATGTGAAAGAAGGATGTGTCCAGGATAATCAAAATTTAAGCTGATTTAATGATTCCATGCACAGATTTCACCCTGGAGGCCAAGTGTATTAATAAGATGACCTCTCCTGATCTTAACCCTAGTGCAGGACAGCAACATAATCACTGTCTGCCCTTCACAGTGATGAATCTTCCCTTTGGGCTTTGCTGCGGCATGATCCGCTATGCAGTTATCCTTTATGCCAGATGACACCAGCAATAGTTTATTAATGATTTTATAATATAACGCCCACCCTTTTGATTAATTTAGATTAAAAATAACAAAGTGTCATACAGAATACAGGACCAACTTAAATCCTCAGATGTGTAGAACTATTATTTCACTTCAATAGGAGTTGAGCATACAGAGGTAGGGGAGAATTTGGCCTGCTGCTGCTGTAATTTGCTTTAATAAATAAATCTATTTACATAATTAGTTTAATGGAACACAAATAATTTTATTTATTGGATTAAAATGGAAAAACAATGGCAAATTACTTTTGCAGGCGCACCTTTCGTGCACTTGTGAAATAGACTATACTCCCCTTGTGCTTTTGCAGATCCGATCATCTCTAAAGGAATTAAGGCATTTGCTGTGTTTTCCTTTGCTTAATTAAAGATCTGTGCAATAAGAACTACTACTGTGTCTGCAACATTGCAATTAAGAAGAAAGCCATTATTCATGACAACTGTTGATTTGGCATCAACAGGTGTTTGCTTTTTGAGTAGGCAATGGATCAACAGAAGGACTTTCTGATATACAATCCCCTTAGCAACGTGTAGTGTCAAGGCAGGGCAAACTGAAGATCCTAAATCTAAACCCTGTTTGTCGATAAACTAATTAAACTCATGAATAATGTGAATTTTGAGAAAAATGCTTCTGTCCACTTAATAGGCAGATATTGAAAGTAGTTCATTAAAATATAAAAAGGGTGCAGACTAATTTTGTGTACCTTGTACATCACATTGTATGGTTTCTAACAACTGTTATAATTCCCACTCTCAATGAGTTTGTATTGCTTTCTGTCAGACCTACTTGTGGTCCCCTGTAAAACCTTCCCAAACATGTGACTGTCATCTCCTTTATGACTCTATGGTCAGCCACCAAAGGTTAAGCAATTTGCTCCAGAGCATCTGTTCCATGTGTTCTTAAATACAGTCTATGAGTATGTCACAAGGACAATTAGTTACTGAACAAAAGCTATATAGTATGCTGCAGCAGAAGTCTAAATAACTGAGATGCTAATCACATCTCCAGAAAGGAAATACAAAATCAGAGTATGGTCATGCAGCTCTCTTGTTGGGGCCTTAACGTTTATTGTACGAAAGCCTGCCATTAACTGTTATCATTAATCCCATAATTACTACTCACAAAAAAGAAACACTCATTTAGGATTTGGATTCTTACTGAAGTTGAAAATAAATTACATTAAAAAAAAATCACACTCAATAGAGTAGGTTTAAATTTAGCGCTTCTGCAGCACACAGAATGGCGCAGAAACAGATGCTGCAGTTCCACACACAAGGCTACAAATTCTCTGAGGAGATGAGAAAGAAAGGGAGCAGAGGGTGGCATACAATGAAAAAACTGTTTGGGGTTGCTGTAAATTCATCTAGACAGATTCGAGGCAGTGGTAAGAATACCTTTTCTTCCCTAGATTGGTCACTGATATGCTGCCCAAACATGCTGCCTTTACTCCGGCCAAATGCCCACTGACTAAATATGGACATTAGGATTGGGACGGTTAGTAGCAAATTGGGACATTTCTGGCAAACCTAAAGGAAGGCACAGCCAGTATGGCATCTCTACATTCCCCAGATGACTTACTTTATAGCACCTACTGAAGTTGCGCCTGATGAAGTCAATACTGAATTTGGCACTCTGACTAATCAAGGCTATGATATATCACGCACCTTATTCATGCTATGAGCTGTTCATAGCCCTACTTGTTCCTTTGCAGATCCTGAGCATTACAAAACCTTTCCTTCTGTTTAATTTAGGCAAGTGAAGATGCAGTGTTTTATTTTTGGGACAGGCATTAAGAAGCAAGCCCCATCCTTGAAATACAATTCATCTAGAAATTTAAGTGCACGCACAGGTCCCTTTTTGGCTAATTTAACAATTAAGAAGCTGTGTTTATTTATTTACTTTAAAAATGAACAATCAAGACCACAATCAAGACAAATTCTAAAGTCGAGTTCTATGGGCATATTTGTGCTCTCTCTTATTGGCAAACCATGATGAGCAGTAAGTTCCTCAAAAAATCTAGCAGGAAAAATCTGTAAATACCACCAGGTGCACTGCTCTACCGCTCTGCATGGCTCTGATAGCTGGGAGAGTGGAGAAGGGCCCAGCGCCATGCTCCAGGTGGTGCTAAGGACTGATTGCTCTGACTTCCGCCCCTTCCACCCAAGGCTCCGCCCCTTCCAGGGCACAGAGCCAGGCCCCACATTCCATGCCTCTGGGTCTGCAGTGGCTGGCCCCGCTGTATACCACTGATGAAAAATCATTTCTTCCCTTTTTAAGTTCATCCCAATACTGAGGTTCCCAATACGTATAAGGTCTGATGTGCCTTTTAGTGGTAAAGGCTTACATGAGACTTAAATGTTGCATTTGTATTTTGCTGAATCTCTGCTCATTAAGAATACTTACAAATTCTAAAACTGAATGTGAAGTATTTACAGAAAATTACATGTTGTGAAATAATGCAATCACATAGGGTCCAACTCTTTAAAATTTAAACACCTGATTCTTGTCAGTATTAACACAACTACAAAAGTGAGACAGGTTATTCTTGCATATAAATATTTTCAGGCTCACACCCAGGATTAGGAGTGGTAAATTCACATATACATTCAAAGTGGCATAGTAAACAACAAGGCTGCTTACTGTGAGATAGGGGAATAATGCAATTTTATTGCAAAAGATGTGCAAAGAAGGGAAGTATTCAACTGTGTGTGTGACTTTGTCCTTTATAAGGTCAAAAGAAAACTATGCATAATGCAGCTAACAGCAGGTTCACAAACTCTTATTGAAAACAGAAACATTTTGTTACATTTAGAGGAATTTATTTACTTTGAGGAAATACTTATCCAAACATTGTTCTATTTTCCCCCATTATATATCTGAAATCTAGGCCACTTGCCCCAAAAGAAAACAGTTCAGCAACGTTTTGTACAGAATAACTATTTTAAAGAATGGACACAAGTACAGGCAGTCCCCGGGTTACGTACAAGATAGGGACTGTAGGTTTGTTCTTAAGTTGAATTTGTATGTAAGTCGGAACCGGTACATATTGTAGGGGAAACTCTAGCCAAACATTTCTCCAGAGCTCAGTTTTATTCTCCCACACCTCACTTCCCTCAGTCCTTTATTCTCAAGCTGAGGTGTCTGCTGAGAAAAAGCCGCTCCGCGTCTCCCTGGTCTGCGGGGGGGGAGGGGGCTAGCTTCACGTCTCCCTGGTCTGCTGGGGGGAAGCAGCTAGTGGGGACTGCCTGTATAGGCTATTGGCTAATCTGTTGTCCACAAAATCCTCTTCCTGTGGGATATGAAAGCTTGGTGTGAAATGTCTTACCCAGGAAAGTGTTTGAAATGTATTCAGACACCTGGTTCCCCGACCGGCTCATCTCTGAGAGGTGTGTCAGCTAAAAAAAAAATAAAAGCCTGACATTTTTCTGAATGTCGCTCTACATTGATTGAGCTGTAAATTTATTACATGCAAATCCACAAACAAGATATTGAAAAATAAATTGTGTAGATATTTAGAATCTAGCACCAACTGCTATACTCTAAATATCTACACTGTTTAGATAATATTGTAATAATATATGCATTTAGATAATATTCATCACCATCATAAAGCAGCAGTTTCTTACTGTTATAGTAAATTGACAATAATTAATTTTTAACAGAATGTGCACATCAGTTATTACTGCATCAAATGAAAGAGAAGATGATGTTTTATACAAGATAAATGTCCTCCACTGGTTTTCAATTCCATATCCTGCATACATTTTATATATAAATTTGCTCTATTTTTGCAAAATAAAGGTAACTGCATCCATTTGGAATGCATGACAGAGGAAAATATAGTACAAAACTAAATATATATATATATATATATATGGTTGGATTTAATATATTACAATGTAGGACATAAACCATGTTTTTATCCTAATATGTACAAAATTGTATTCTTAATTTTCAAGTTCAACTGTTTTTATAACAATATTATTCTGTCCTCCAAAAGGATGTTCTCTCTCTCTCTCTCTCTCTCTCTCTCTATATATATATATATATACACACACACACACCTTAAATAGCTTATGCTTTATGAATTTTATGTCCTAGATTTGTAACACATAACACAGCCATTTATAAATTGTCTTCCAAAATTCTTAACCCACCTTGATGTAACCCCAAGATACAGATAACAAATAGTTTGCTTCAGGCATTTTGGAAAACTCCACACCACAAACAACAAATCTCTTATGAAGAATTCACAGGTTAGGTAGAGGAATTCCACAAGCACGAGGATATCCCAGTTTTCCAGTTAATAAAAAAGCTTAATGTTCATAAAAGTGAAAAGATTTGAAAAAACATGGTATTTGCTAGTCCAAGACAAAGCTAAGCTTTGCATTCGATCTTTGCAGAAGAGCTGTATGTGGGTTTATTTGCTGGCAGAACAAATAATGAAATCAGGGATTGCACGAAGAAGCAAGAACTAATCCAAATGCATTCAGCTTGATGGCTTGAAGCACTTATGAATTATGGATAGTCCTGGCTGCTTAGCTGGCTGAAGGGGGTTCCCACTCCGGATTAATCTGGCTCAGCTGTGCTATGCAGTGAAGAAATGATGGGCTGTTTTTTGAGGGGTTTGCCAGCTATAGCAATACAGCCATGTTTTTCAAAAGGAAGATTAAAATGGAGGAAGCCCTGTGCATATTTAAATAAGTCAAAAGTAGGCAGCAACCTACTCATCTCAAGCTTTGCATATTTTTTTTAAATGCTCATCATTTCACAGGAAGAGGATTTGCAATGCAAATGTTCACACGGAGATATTTAAAACAGGATTGCTAACTCTTTCCATAGTAACCCTCATTTTGATTCATATTTCAGAGCTCTGGCAAGATACTGCATAGGGAACTTGGAATGTTTTCAGTTTTTACAATCATCTCTCCATTTTACCCATTGCAACCATAAGCACATTAATGAACTAACCCTATGATGGGTGTCTGCAAAGCATGATTTAAAATGTCAATAAATTGCTTTGAATTACTACATGAATGCATTCACCATCCCATTTTACAGACTTAATCAGAATTTTCATTTACATTTAAGGCTGCAATTAATGTATTAGAAAACAAATCTGTTGTGGCAGCGAGAAAACATAGACAAACCACTGTGTACTGTTATATGATGCAAATCAGAGTAAGAAATCACTAGTGACTATAAATATTCATACTGCTATAGGATTTTAATGCTATTGTGTGTATGATGTCATATATCATCCAATCAGGATTCCTAAAATAAAAGAGAAATTTTAAGTTTGAAATTATTGCTGTTCTCTCACTGCTTTGAATACGCGTTATCAGTGCTGAGTGGGATGATGTCATATGACTTTCTCCATGTGTGATAGAGGACATGCATATAAGGGAAACCTACTGCTGTAATGTAACCCTCCGCCCCCAGCAATAGACAAGCACTCAAGTATAGCGAGGCAAAAAGACGATCACTGTAACATGGCAACAATACCACATGATAATCTCCTTCCTTTACTGTGAGGGTTCCCTTCAGATTGTAATCCAGCATCCTACTGCCAGAATTCTAACACTGCTCTAAGGACAAAGAAAACTCATTTCTAAAGGATTTTAAAACACCTGCTTTAGAAGGAGAATCATGAGCAATCACACTATCTTGTGTGACATTTGAAGTCCAAAGACTCTCAATAACTGATTTTCCAGGTGCAGGTAGAACCCCTGAACCAGAGAGCCCCAGCCATGGGAGGATGAGGGAGGTTGCTGTGTCAAGCCAGCTCAGGGCCAGTGGCCTGGCGGTAGAGAGCCTGGCTGGCAGCCCACGGGATCAGCAGGCTGGGAGCAGACCCCACCAGTGGACCGCCAGCCCAAGCAAGGCTAGCAGCAGGGAATAGCAGAGCCCTGTTGGCACCCCGAGGAGGGCTGGCGAATGGGCCAGCGGCTAGGTACAGTGGAGCCCTGCTGACCAGACTGAGGTTGGTGTCAGGGGCACTGGAGCCCTGCCAGCAGCCAGAGGGGGCTGGCGGCCAAGGCAGCTGTAGCAGAGCCGGCGGTAGAGTCCCTGGCAGCTTATTGTAGCAGGGCCAGCGTGCTAGCCAGGAGAGAAGCCCCCAGGAGAGCTCAGAGGCCTGACCTCCCCTGGTCTGCCAAACTCCCTTGTTCAGGACTGCTCAGGTGCCTGATCAGGGAGATCCAACCTGTATCTGTTTTCAAACATCCATCTCTTGACTGTTAGACTGTGTTTGGTGAACAACAACATTAAATAAGAATTTCCAGCTGCCTACAATGGCTATATTTAAGTCCCTGATGGATTTAGTGAAATATAAAGTATCATTCATGTAGTCCACAGAAACATACTTACATAAATGGAATTACTTTATCATAATAAACCTTTTTCAGGGCGCTACCCAGCAGAACTGTCAAGTACCACCTACTCTACATATAGGGAAGTCTTGCAATGGGTTCTGGTGCCCTGCTGGCCTATCCTCCTTAAAACCTGGTAATAATTTTTGTATGCAATGTTGTAGCCATGCCAGTCCTAGGATATTAGAAAGCTAAGGTGGGTGAGGTAATATCGTTTATTGAACCAACTTCTATTGCTGAAGAAGAGCTCTGTGTAATGCTTGTATCCCTCACCAACAGAAGTGGATCAGGTAAAAAACATTTTTTTTTGAGCAGTTATGCAAAGGCTCTTGTGGAAAGTCCACATAGTGGAAACTCCCTTTTATTCAGGGAGCCTCACCCAAGCTGAAATGTCAATAATGGAAGGGAGAATGAATTGCTTTGGGCTGCTGACAGAGATCTCTCTAGGGCAAGCTGTGGAATCAGGATGTCTCCCATATTTATTGCAACTCTTTCTGGCACATCTTACAGGTTTCCCTCTTTCTCTTTTAATACAGGAAATTTCCACTTAACTCCCTATATTTCCTGCTCTCTCTCTCACACACACACACATACAATCTTGCACACCAGCGCTTGGTCTTTGCGCCCATAGGTCAGAACTTGCTCAGAAAGCTTCTCTCCATTTCTTGCACACAAATAACTCCTATGCCAAATAACTAAGACTAGAGCATATGAAAGTGTGAAATCTGTTTTTATTATTTTTCAGTTACTCAAGCCATCACTTTCCTTTTGCCATATAATGCCAGCATGGCAGGAGTTTGGACATGATTTGGTTTGACACCTTGCCTGCTCCATCTGTGATGCCTGCAAACAAGAGCTTTCCTGCAAATGTCCAAATCCTATTCCCCGTGGCAAATTAATAGCACTGAGGAACCCACTAATCACAGTACAGCAAGAACCCTCAACAACTGGGTGCACTAGAAGTAAAATTAAAAGCACTAAAGATTGATCAGCTAACTGGCTGGCTAACACCCACAGCTAGCATGTAAAGAGAAACAGATCAACACAAGCAGAGCACAATGTCTGAAAATGCCTGTTAACAAGAAATGTGTATTTTTCATTGTAAAAATGGCCAGAGACAGAAATACTGTCACATGGCTTTAGGCAACTAGATGTGGTGTGTCAATGTCACAGGTCTCTGGCACATGATCCGTTCCCTTAGGAATGTATCCTAAGATCTCACAAGGAGGAGGGAGGTGTGTCAGATGCTTGATGTGAAGGTCAGGAATCCCAGAGCTCTGGCCATGCTGGGGAATTGCTTTCCATTACTAAATCTCATTTAAGATTCATGTCAGTTGAGAGAGGTTAAAGTCTCTTGATCCAAAACCAAGAAACTACCCAAAGCCAAAACTCGGTTTTTTGATCATTATAAACAAACAAGTGAGGAGTTAATGCTGACCATCTGTGTGATCACAAAGGAAAGGAAAGCTCTCATAAAAGAGGAGATGAATTCTGACTCAGTGCTTGAAAGTTACAGATTCACATTGGCTATAACCCAGCAAAGCATTTCAGCACATGCTTAACTTTAAGCATGTAAGTAGTCTCAGATATCAAGCATCAAATGAAACAAGTTTTCAAAGGCTTTACTGACACAGGGCCTTTATCTATACAAAAAGTGGTTGTAAAAATTATTTTCAAAGTTGTGTCAACAGGATTTTATAGTATTTTGTACATACATAGAACCATGCTTTTCATCTGAGGAGCTAAAAGCACTCTGCAGGCTTTAAAATATGCAGCATCACAGCAGTGTTACTACTATCTAGAAAAGTACCAGGTATTATTATTCCCATTTTACAGAAGGGAATTGAGGCACAAAATGATTAAATGACTTGCCAAGGATGTCTGCAGTAGGGAGGGAATAGAACTCAGATCTTTTGACTTTCCCATTTGAACTATAACAATTCAGCTACACCCTTCCCTTGGTCACTCAGCTTTAAGTAAACAAATTCCGCCATCTTCTTCGGTGTTATATTCAGCAACTGAATTACATAACTGGCCAGAGGACAGTACGGTAGCACCGCTAAAAATATTACCATGCCCAAACTCCAGCCATGGCAATTATCATCCTCGTTACATCCTCCTGCATTTTTAATGGTATCATTGAAATGTACTGTTTGAATAGGACTGGAATATGAATTTATTAATGGAATTTCCTCAATACTGTGACACAGCTAAAAAATGACAGCCCATGAGGCACAATGAGGGCACTCAATAATAGTTAGAAGCAATTACGATGCATATTAACAACTTGGTGTTTTATGGGACTCTGGATTTTTCTTGAACTTCATTTGATGTCAAATGCTCCAGGGAGATTCTATGCCAGGTGTGTGCAGTGCCAGCAGGGAGCATACAGGCTGCTCTCGCTGCAGAGACGAATGCATGATAGTGTCTCTGCAATGGTTTCTTAGCTATCCCAATATGGGTAAAAACCAACAGAATGTACACAAGAAAATACCAATCATTTTGTGTATGGCATGTTTTATACAGCATGTTAAACTTTTTAAAGAAATCGTGAATTAATTTTGATTTAACACTGCATTCCTGTAATTAATAATACTCTGCACTTATCCAGTGCTTTTCATCTGATCACCTCAATATATTTTACATAGGAAGGCATTATTATCCTCATTTTAAAGATAGGAACTGAGCCAGAGGAGTGACATGGCATGGGGCAACAGGGATTCAGTGGCAGAGTGAGGAACAGAACTTGCTCCCCTTTTCCATATCCCATTCTCTGATTAGCAGACGGTGCAATTAAAATGCAGAGTTTAAAAAATTATTATTATTATTTAAATAAGAATAAAATAATGAAGAAAAGCCTACAGAGCCCAAACAAACATGAGAAATGCCTTTTCGTCTGAACTACAGTGTTCTGAAAACATTTGGGCAATGGTGAGAAAAAGCAATCAGATTGTGTGGAGTTTTTCTGTAATGTCTTGAAAAGTAATTTCAACCACATTAGCTCGGCTAGAGATTTGAATTGTTCCTTGATTGATACTGGAACCACTTATGAAGTATTCACTGGCGCATTCGGGGGCCTAGTTTCTTAACAGTCTTTTCTTTTTAAGTAAGTTCCTTCATTGTAATTCATGTAATGCTCCCAGAGGCTATATTCACAGTGAAACATCTTTAATTTTATTTTATCTAAAATGCAAATGTTTGTTTCATTCCTGGCCCTGTTAATGTTGACATATTGCTTCTACAATGATAGGTGTGTGGTTCTTTTCCTTTGAGGACACATTAAAAACCGCCCTGGAAAAATCTTTATGGGACTGTGCCAAGCCAAAACCCC